GGAAAATAATTACTCAAGTAAAGTAGAGATACCAAAATTTCCACTTAAGTACAGTAACAAAGTATTTGTACTTAGTTACTTTACAACTCTGGAGTTTATATCCTAACCCTGACCATATACTCTAACATTAACCTGACAGGTACCTGAGCCTAAAACTAACCTGAACCTTGGTCCTGAACCTGACCCCTCACCTGGACCTGCAGGTGGACCCTGAGGACCAGGGGTCCCCACGAGCCTGCTGTTTTTAGTAAAAAATTCCCCACGTTGTAGGAAAATCCCGTCCACACACACACACACACACACACACACACACACACACCCAGTCAGACGTGTTCTTCATTCCGCTGCAGATGATTTGTTGTGACAACCTGACAGTAAAAGTTTTCACAACAAACTCTGTTTTTACATTTTATATTTTTACAACGAGCCGAACGTCGGAGCTAAAAYTTATTTTTAAACAAAACTTTTTTTTATTTTACGAGGTGGAAGTTCTCAGATTGAGTTTAACGCAAACAAAATCCAGTTTTAAAAGACAGCAGTTGTTTTTTTCCAGTCTTCTCTCATGATGCAGCTCAGCAGATTTTCCTCCCTGACTGGAGTTAATGCAGCCCTATACCATCAGAGAGGCAGCTGCTTGATGGTTTCCAAACAGAACTCCAGATGTGGATCCGTCTGACCACAGAACGGTTCTGCTCTTCGTCTCGGCCGGTTCTAAATGAGCTCTGGTTCAGAGAGGATGGTTCTGGATTCATGTMTTTTTTGTCTGATAGAGCTTTAAACATTGGTGCATGGCACAAAGATCACAACCATCTGATATYGTCTTTAAAGGGCCTGKGACATGCCCATCCTWYAAATACAAAAAGTCAAAGAAAACATCTTCACACTGAAGAAAATTGGCAAAAAACACACAATTTTACGCATTTTGTCCCATAACTGACCTACTTCCTGTCCAACTGGTTCAGCCAAAGTGAAACAGGAAGTGACATCAAAGAGGAACTCAATAAAATAAACTCTCTGGTCTTTGTTTATTAAAATTAAATTATTTAAACTTTAACTCTTCATTTCTTTGATAGCAACTAAAATAGTCTAAAGAAACATCAGATTCTTCTCTACAGTCTGTTGTAACAACGCTCTGTTATTCAGATATTCCCCTATGACATCACTTCCTGTTACTTCACATGGAAATATCTCAACAATCGTTCATCTCAGTGGCGTAAAAATTCTTCTGCAATATGTTACTAATGTTATCTTTCCAAAAAAGCATTCATATTTATAATAAAAATGTGATGTCACAGGCACTTTAAGCCTTTAATTTCAGAGTTTTCTACAGACTGTAATAATATGTGGTGCTGTTTGTAAAGTTACACAGTCAAAAATTACCACCATTATTTTTGTTTTATTTATACT